GCTGAATCCTGAATTCCGCGGGACGGGGCCGCGGCGCCCCCCTCAGCACACGAGACTGCATCTTCAAGGCCAACAGTGAAGCAACCCGCTGCTGCTTTGAACCTCACCGTCGGACTGTCTAAAGATCTCCCACCATTACATCAGGCCACCCGGAATAACTTCTCTTTAAAGTGCAACTGATTAGTGACTTCCGGTGCTGGTGATTCAAGCATGAACAAAAGAAAGTGAAAGTGAAGCCGCCCAGTTGTGTTCGACTCTATGTGACCCGGTGGGAGGCTCCTCTGTCCATGGGAATTTTCAGCCGAGAGTACTGGAGTGGGTTGCCATTGCCTACTCCAGGGGATCTTCCCGATCAAGGGATGGAACCCTCGTCCCTCACATTGCAGGCAGACGCTTTAACCTCTGAGCCACCAGGGGAGCTCAGGATAAACAAAGTAGGGCTTAGTTCCGACAGAGGCCCCGCAGCTGCCTGCCGCGGTAACTGCTGTAAAGGGGACAGACAGGGAGGTGAGACTCCAGGGAAGGGCACCCGGGCTGAGCGCTGCAGGCGAGCAGGGCTGTCACAGGGTGAGCTGAGGGCGGGCCGGGAGGCAGCCGCTGCGCCTTCATACTGTGCCTCAAACAGACCCACTGGAAAAGACGTGACTCTGGGCAAGATGGAAGGCGGGAGGAGAAAGGGACGACCAGAGGATGAGATGGTTGGATGGCATCACCGATGCGGTCAACATGAGTTTGAGTAAACTCCGGGAGTTGGTGATGGACAGGGAGGCCTGGCGTGCTGCAGTCCATGGGGTCGAGAAGAGTCGGACACGACTGAGCGACTGAACTGAACTGAAACAGACTCTTCAAGAGTACAGATCACTTCCTGAAGGAAATCCTCTAAAAGCTGGCTGTTTCTCCATCTTTGGCTTTTAGTAGTGCAGCAAAAACACAATTGAGTAACGGATTAAGTTTATTAAACACTTGGGGTGTTGCATGATTTCCAGATGCATAAAACCATGTCTTCTGCCCCTCAGAGTGTCCTTGTAGGTCATCCATTGCACCTAACCACAACCAGTGAGACCAACGGTACATTATCTGAGATCTACTTACATCACTGGTGCCACAGGGTGTTTTGGCCATTTATAACAGCCATTGTTACCCAATCGCGAGTGTGAGAAATTTGTGGCAAATTTGAATTTCGAAGTGAATACATATATTCTATATCACCAAAGAAGAAAGAAAAGGCTTTTCTTTTGAACAGTTTTCAACATTTTAAATTTAGATACTGGTTTTTACTGTGAATTTGGGTATAACACATATATACCCCAAGTTTGAATTTTATTCAAATATGTAAGTATTTTATATTATATAATCTATTAATCACTATTACACTGAAATAAGGCATATGAATGTACAAGTTGCTATTCTGAGCCTTTCATTTCTTCCCTATCCATCATCCTCTACCTAATTCATAAGTAAATTACTAAATCCTGAAGACTCCGTTTCTCAATCCCAACCATACCTCATTACCGCTACCACAATGGCCTTAATTCATGCTTTTAAAGTCCATTCACTGAACAATTCCCAACTGGTCTTACTGCTAAGAGCCTCTTCCTACTCTAGTTAATTTTCTATACAATTGCCAGATTATCTTCCTAAAAAACTGAACAAAGTCCCAGTCCTCATGGGGTTTACACTCTGGTGGGAGAGATTAAAAAAAAAAAGAAGACAGCGCAGTGGTAAAGAATCCTCTTGCCAATGTAGGAGATGTGGGATGAGTCCTTGGCTCAGGAATATCACCTGGAGGAGGGAATGGCAACCCACTCCACTATTCTTCCAGGGGAATCCCATGGACAGAGGAGCCTGCTGGGCTACAGTCCATGGGGTTGAAGAGAGTAGGACATGACTGAGCAGGCATGCAAGAGGAAAAGTAAAGGAGGTGCAATTTATTTCAGTTTAATTGATAATTGACACACAGCATTACAAGATGTGCAGCATAAGGTAGGAGTAGTGTGTAGAAAGCTGAGGGCCGAAAAATTGATGCTTTTGAACCGTGGTGTTGGATTTATGAGAGTCCTCATGTTGTGTACCTCCCTCCCTTCGATTGTGGGTAGTATTCTATCAAATGAGTATACCAGTTCAGCCATTCTTCACTGATGGACATATAGATTGTAGGTTTTGATTATTATGAATAAAGATGCTATGAGTATTTTTGCACAAGTCTTTTTGTAGGTATATGCTTTTATTTTTCTTGGATAAATATCTGTAAGTGGGATTGCTGGGTTGTATGTTTGTTTAATTCACATGCAACTAATGGGCCCACAATTTTGAAACAGAGAAATAAAAAGCTTAGAATACGCTCTCCTTTTGCTCAAAGTGTAGTCTGGAAGAGATGCAAAGGATTTGTTAAAAAGCCTCAGATAACCCTGTCACTCCTCACCTTTCTTCTGGGACCCTGAGAAATTCCTTTTAAGTTAGAGGGATGAAAGATGTGTGGATAATATCTGTAGGTGAATGCAGTTTGGGCAGTACTTTGGAAGAAACCTATGTAAAACCCTTTGATGAATCTCTGCCTCTAGGTTTCTTGGAATTCCATCTCACTGTGATCAAGCTCAGAAAGGGAGATCTAAAATAAAAATGATTCCTGATAAGGAGGCCTCTATTAGCAAAAGTCTGATGGCAGATTAGGTGAAGGCTGGGTAAGGCTGGCCAGTGTGGTGGTAAAGTCAGGAACGCTCAAAGGTCTCTATGCAGATAAGCCTTGAATGTTGCAATATTGTTTTCTCAGTCAGTTCTCTGTTATCCTTAGTAGCTTTAAAACATACCTGCCATCTTCCACCGTTCAGCATATAAGCAGGCTCCACTGAAATCAGAGCCCTTTCAAAATGAACTCTTTCACTGCCTTGCCAGAAACGTCCACCTATCTGCATTCATCCTTGATCTATCCTTGCCTCCTTCCTTCCAATCACAGTGAAGACTGTATCCCTCCACAGGTAATCACCATTTATCTTCTCAAGGGCCTTGTTGTATTATCTTTTATTTCCCTACCTCTTCCTTTATGCTGGCTCATTCCCACCAGCATGTCCAAGTCCTTGTGAAAGCCGCTCCCAATTTCTCCCTTGTGAAAACTAACTTTCTTTGAACACCAGGTACTACTCCTAGCTACAGCTTTATGTCTCTGGTCTCATTACAGTCAAATCTTCAAAAGGGCTGTCTGCAAAGACTGTTTCCTCATTTTCTGAGGAAACCTGAGTCTCCAAAGTCCACCTAGAGCCCTTTATCTCTGAGCAAGCAGTGAACAATCATTTTTAAAAAGTCCTGTACGTGATGGATGGAGAGATGGGTGCAGAGACAAAGTCCTCCATAGCTGTGCGGCTTGGGACACTGGATGACTAATTGGGTTGAGAAAGCGTTTATCTGTGTGTCTAAATAACCTGAAAAAGTGAAAAAGTTGGCTTAAAACTCAACATTCAGAAAACTAAGATCATGGCATCTGGTCCCATCACTTCATGGCAAGTAGATGGGGAAACAGTGGGAACAAAGACTTTATTTTGGGGGGGGTCCCAAATCACTGCAGATAGTGACTGCAGCCATGAAATTAAAAGACGCTTACTCCTTGGAAGAAAAGCTATGACCAACCTAGATAGCATATTAAAAAGCAGAGACATCACTTTGCCAACCAAGTCCATCTAGTCAAAGCTACGGTTTTTCCAGTAGTCATGTATGGATGTGTGAGTTGGACCATAAAGAAAGCTGAGCACTGAAGAATTGATGCTTTTGAACTGTGGTGTTGAAGACTCTTGAGAGTTCCTTGGACTGCAAGGAGATCCAGCCAGTCCATACTAAAGGAGATGAGTCCTGGGTGTTCATTGGAAGGACTGATGTTGAAGCTGAAACTCCAATCCTTTGGTCACCTGAGTGAAGAACTGACTCACTGGAAAAGATTCTGATGCTGGGAAAGACTGAAGGAGAAGGGGGCGACAGAGGATGAGATGGTTGGATGGCATCACCGACGCCATGGACATGAGTTTGAGTAAGTCCGGGAGTTGGTGATGGACAGGGAGGCCTGGCGCTGCAGTCCCTGGGGGCGCAGAGTCGGATACGATTGAGCAACTTAACTGAAATCACCTGATAGGTACGTTCATCCTGAAATGCACTTAGGGAAAGGCGGTCCGTCACTACCAACAAGTGTCTGCAGACAAGCGCCGAAACACTGTAGAGCTTCTCCACCGGTGAATCCCTCGTGGAAGAACCATTCTCGCCGGCCCGGGCCGCGCTCCCGCCGGCGCAGCGGAGAGCCCGCCAGGCACCTGGGCTGGCCTCTGGCGGGACCGGGTCTTCTCAGCGGCCAAGGCGTCCGGGTCGGGCTCTGAGAGGGCCGAGGGTTCTCGGCCAATGACGGTCCTCTAACGTGCGCCTGGCGACGTCAGCGCGGATGTGCCCACGGACGTCACCCGGCGGGCTCAGAGGCGGCTCCTCCCGGACCCACGAAGTGGGCGTGGGCACCAGGAAACGGAGGGTGACTGGTGCTGGGGGCTGACAGCCCGCACTCGCGGGGCGGGCCCGGCCGAGCGGCCTTCAGGGAGCGAGCAACCTTCAGGGAGCGAGCAGCCGCGCGCCGCCGAGTCCCGCCCCCTTCCCGAGCGGGCCGCGCGCCCCCGAGACGCCCTCCCTGCGCGCCGCTGCGGCCCCGCCCTCTTCCCAAACGGGCCGCGCGCTCTCGGCGCGCCGAACTGTGCCGCGGGCGCGCGCGCCGCTGCCGGCAGAGCCGCCGTTAAAGTGGTCTGAGGCGCGCCCAGCGATTCCCCAGCCGCCGCACTGACCAACTGAGGCGGCGGGCCAGGCTGCGAGCGGCCGCCCGGTCAGCAGGCTCGCCCGCCTCCGTCGCGTCCCCAGAGCTCGCGCCCCGCCGTGGTTTCCCGGCGTCCCGGGGCAGAGCATGTAGCCCCCCAGCGCCGCATGTGTGACCGTGTGTGTGTGCCCGCGTGTCCGAGGCCGACCCCCGCGGGGCCTCCCTTATGGGCCTCCTGCTCTCGAAGGAGCCGTGCCGCCGCCCGCTCCAGAAGCGGCCCCGCTGCGGCAGCTGGTGGCGCCGCCGCCGCCGGCCTCACCTCAGGTGGCCCCGCGGGGCCCCGGCCAAGGCGGCGGCGGCGCCCCGGGGCCGGGACTGCCTCTTCCGCGGGCCCTGCATGCTCTGCCTCGTCGTGCACGGCCCCGGCGCGCCCGCCCCCGCCGGCCCGGAGGAGGAGCCGCCGCTGTCGTCGCCGCGGCCGCTCAGGGCCTACGGCGCGGCCGCCTCCTCACAGGCCCCGGCGCGGCGCCGCGCGGGCCTGGCCGCCG